TCCAATAAAGTATCAAGTACAAGATACAAGTCCACCCTAGAGCAGGAATAAAACAAATACGGAGCTTAAAAATGCTAGAGCAGCCTGGTCTGCTGCCGGAATCCTCCCAAGCAATTCCCTCCTTTGTTTCTTACTGAAAGTTTCATTTTCTAAAAATAAACCTCTCAAAACCACCTACCGGAATCTTCGTCTCTGGACCATCAAGCAGCCTATAGGTGGAAATCCTAGGCCACGTTTCAGCATATGAATAGTAATATCTCAAGTATGCAATAAATCCAAAGTATACAGATTTAATTTAATTCACCAAAAATGCGTAGTTTTATTTTTGCAGGTAGGTTCTTTTCTTCTGACCTAAATGCTTTATTTTTTCTTCAAGCCAGAAACCCAAAATTCTGAGAGCTTTCAATATTAATAATTGTGCTACAGCAGATTCTGTCATGGCAGTTTATTTCAGAAATTCCTCACCATATCTCAAGAAGTTTCTTTGCATTGAAGTTATTCCTGTTCCCCCTCCCTTCAAAATGATCAAATAATTACCAAAAAAGAATGATCTGGCCAAGGCCAGAACGATCAAATGCTATTAAGTTTCACAGATAAGGTTCCCATTTTTACAAACATCCCCCTAAAGGCAACACAAGCTGAAACTCACATCTGTTGGATACAAAGTGATGGAAAAGGTCACCAGAAATCCAGTAGAAATAGCATTTCTCTTTACTAAAGTAATGCTCACATTGAATTGCAGTACTCGGTTCCCAGTGGCTAACTCTTCACCAGCAAAGTGGATATTTTGAACAATTATCTGGATAAGGCAAGCCAGAGAAACAAACTAAAATGCCCATAGATTTTAGGCAAAGCCACAGGGGTTAGAGGGAGCTGACAGGTAGGTACGAAGAAGTTATTTAAATGATCTGAACAATTACATCAGCTTACTTTGGCTATGTCTATACAAGCAATCTGTTTGTTAGCATTGTTTTGGAAACTCGATTACCAGAATAATATGGTCAATTCTTCTTACGTACTTTTAAACAGGAAAGAATGTCTGCCTAACTTCAAGTACTTTTTATCTGATGATTTAATAAACCAAGCAAGGTCTGGGCCACTTAAACTGTTAGTCAAAACACCACTTGAGTCTCACTCGCAAGGCCTAAATAGGAACATCAAATGGTCATTGGTATTTTCTGGCTAAGGTATCAGCTCATATTTTTCACTGAAATTCAATGAAATCTACAGGAGAGCTTTTGCACTGCCATAACAACTATAAAGTTCTTATTGAAAAAGTATTTGTTTATTATTTAAGTCATTCAAAAGGTAGAGGCCTTAGTTTTTTTTTCAGTTCTTTAATCAAATTGCCGGCAGATGTTTAGATGTTTTGGGCTTAGCTGAAATAGCCTAAATTAGGTCAGAGTAGAATAAAAAATGACTATGGGAGGCAGAAAGAAATCTGCAATGTTCTGATTTAAGTGGACAGAAATATAACTTAGAGCATTTATACCCCTGTAAAATTTGGCATCTTCCAAAAACGATGACTTTGAATTTGAAATCTTTCCTCTTTCTTTGTACTCCACTGGACTTAAAGTTGGAAGTGGAAGAGATTCTTCAACAGTGGTCATTTTCTAATATAATTCAGACATTTTCTTTGCAGGATCTATACCCTTACTCATTATCAGGGACACACTGATGGAATTATGGTGGAATCAAACAAATGAATACAGGTGTCTAGAAGTGACAAGAAAGCCAACTGTAATGGAGGTAAACCGTGGCATAGGTATTTGGACAAGTAGTAAATGATTCTTATACCATGTATTATTATATTTGACTTCAGAGTACATTTTTCACTTTACATTTAAATATGTCAGTCTGAAATTTGGGGGCAAATGAAGAAAATGTATGTATAGCGGCCATTCCATTTTCACATCTCCTATGTATACTATATCATATATATGCTTAATAATAAATGCCTTGCTTTTATGATTTAGTAGATCTGGATTTATTGGTTGGCTCTGTGACCTTGAGCAAATCATTATTCTTCTCTGGGCCTTTTTTTTCTGTTTGTGAAATAAGAGGTTGGAAGAGAGGTCGGGATAGAGTGGATTCTCTCTAAGGTACTCTCTTAGCTCCAATTTTCTCTGTTTATAAATTCACTCTCACATCGGCTTATACTTTCTCTGGGGTCAGATGACATTTAAGCGCTGTATTTGAAATACCTTTCTTTTTTCTTTTTAATTTTTTTATTGTTATGTTAATCCCCATACATTACATCATTAGTTTTAGATGTAGTGTTCCATGATTCATTGTTTGTGCATAACACCCAGTGCTCCATGCAGAACGTACCCTCTTTAATACCCATCACCAGGCTAACCCATCCTCCCACCCCCCTCCCCTCTAGAACCCTCAGTTTGTTTTTCAGAGTCCATCGTCTCTCATGGTTCGTCTACCCCTCTGATTCCCCCCCTTCATTCTTCCCCTCCTGCTATCTTCTTTTTTTTTTTCCTTAACATATATTGCATTATTTGTTTCAGAGGTACAGATCTGAGATTCAACAGTCTTGCACATTTCACAGCGCTTACCAGAGCACATACCCTCCCCAGTGTCTATCACCCAGTCACCCCATCCCTCCCACCCCCCCCCACTCCAGCAACCCTCAGTTTGTTTCCTGAGATTAAGAATTCCTCATATCAGTGAGGTCATATGATACATGTCTTTCTCTGTTTGACTTATTTTGCTCAGCATAATACCCTCCAGTTCCATCCACATCATTGCAAATGGCAAGATCTCATTCCTTTTGATGGCTGTGTAATATTCCATTGTATATATATACCACATCTTCCTTATCCATTCATCTGTCGATGGACATCTTGGCTTTTTCCACAGTTTGGCTACTGTGGACATTGCTGCTATAAACATCGGAGTGCATGGACCCTTTCGGATCCCTACTTTTGTATCTTTGGGGTAAATACCCAGTAGTGCAATTGCTGGATCATATGGTAGCTCTATTTTCAACTGTTTGAGGAACCTCCATACTGTTTTCCAGAGTGGCTGCACCAGCTTGCATTCCCACCAACAGTGTAGGAGGGTTCCCCTTTCTCCGCATCCTCGCCAACATCTGTCGTTTCCTGACTTGTTAATTTTAGCCATTCTGACTGGTGTGAGGTGGTATCTCATTGAGGTTTTGATTTGGATTTCCCTGATGCCGAGCAATATTGAGCACTTTTTCATGTGTCTGTTGGCCATTTGGATGTCTTCTTTGGAAAAATGTCTGTTCATGTCTTCTGCCCATTTCTTGATTGGATTCTTTGTTCTTTGGGTGTTGAGTTTGATAAGTTCTTTATAGATTTTGGATACTAGCCCTTTATCTGATCTGTCATTTGCAAATATCTTCTCCCATTCTGTTGGTTGTCTTTTGGTTTTGTTGACTGTTTCCTTTGCTTTGCAAAAGCTTTTTATCCTGATGCAGTCCCGATAGTTCATTTTTGCCCTTGCTTCCCAAAGGCAAAGGCAAGGGAAGCAAGGGCAAAAATTGAAATACCTTTCTTGATAGTAGCTGGTCCAGAGGGTCTGCAGAGGCCCAGAGGTGAACACAAATGTCTTTTCCTTTCTACTTTCTATGTTACAAGTTCCTACTTTTCTGAGTTAGAGTGAATAAAACTGTTGATGTCACCAATATGGAAGTTATGGCAATAGCTGTCCAGCTTTAACAGCTCACTGGCCTCAATCCCCATCATAACTAGGCCTCAAGGTAGCTAGTGCGGTTGTAAGCCCAAGTCATAAAGACGATAACCCTGAGAAGATCTGAAAAGGAATGTACTGCCCATGAAAATAGGACACTGGTTTCTTTTAGTGGTCAAGGTTGGCTGCTATCATTTCTACATGTTCTGTCCTCAGAATGTAACTGAGAGAAGATTATTTTGGCTCTATAGCTGCCCTTGTTTTCTGACAAATTGATACAGTGACAGCTAGGACAATTTTACCTAGGTTATCACAAGTACATGTATTTGTGAGAAAGAGGTATCTTTTTCTTTTGATGAAACAGGGCCACGTATTGGTTTTTGGTGCCATCAGTATGAATTAGGGAGGTAGCCCGGGTGCTATTTATTATCAAAAGCAAGTTTGACAACTGGAAAAGTCGAATCTGTAAATTTAGAAACCTTCCTTCTGGAAAATCACCTGTTATTGATGTCAAGGTCATTTATGATAGCCCCACCTAGGGGAGCGGGAGAGAAATTGGAGTTGAGTAAATAATCACTTCAGACATGATCAAAGAATTATTTGGGGACAACCAAATAATTGTACAATTTACAACCTCTTATCAAATGGGTCTTGATGCAGCTTGTTCTCTTGATCACTTTTCCTGGGATCTGAGCTTTATTCAGATATATGGAGGCATATATGCATTCTTTGAAAATGTTTCATTTTACTTACTTGTATCAGAAAGTACACACGTGAATTTAGATGGATTTCTGTTACTGTTGACATTTACAAGAACAGAACAACACCTAACTTTCTTACTTTTCTGAGCTACGCACTATTAATTTTCTCTCTAGGACCCACACCTAGGGCTGTTTGGGTCATATGTTAGAGTGTGAACTGGGGACAACTCTGTGTTAATGTTGGTAAAAAATAATAAAAACAAAACAAAACCCCACAAAAACCAAAGCCAAAGGAACCCCCAAAAAACCCACAACCCCACCCTTGGTGAGCAGGTTATCAGTCAGTGGTTATTGGGTCAACTTGATGACCATATGCATTACAGACTTCATTTTTTAACCTGCACGTTCAGATTTTGATGAGGTACTCTTGAGCTGTGGAAAATAATTTGTTTGTATGTATAAATTCGGCTTTCTTTGAAGACAGAATTTGGATTGCGCTAGGGTTATGTTATATATCTAATGTAAGTTGACACATGCAATTCCCCTGCCTGCAATGAATATGAAAACTGCAACCTGAATCAGGTTATCTAGACCTAAAATTGTTTTTTCATCAGAATGCAATTAATGAAAATGAAGATGCTCTTTTCGGATTTCAACACCTCAGCAAGATGTTATTTTTCTGATTAAAAAAATATTTTCAAACCCAGACTTTCACCTTAGAAACGCTTTTGATAGCAATGATGATTAAAACTATCAACAGTAGATAGGCCCCTATATATGTACCGGCTATTTTTCTTGCCAATGTATGAGATGTAGCGACTACTGGTTAGAGTGCAGCAGAAGTTCTTAAAATAGCACACGTCCTAAATACTAATCTCAATACTATCACATTTTGAAAGGTAGTAAGTCAACTGAAACACACAAACACAGGAAAGGAACTCACTAACTTATTAGATAGGACACATACTACGTGGTAAATATTCACTGGCACATCTTGGGAAACTAACACATCTTTTAGAAACAAAACACTCAACAGCCCCCACGATAAGGAGAAGTCGCTGTGTTTAAAAACAAAAACAAGGAGAAGGCCAGTTCTACCTAGAAACCACAAGCTGACAATTCTTTGGAGTCTGTTCAGTCTCCCTTTGATGCTGTTCATCGAATTGGAATGGGCGACATAGATGGGCAGGTTGGCTAGCCTCATCTGATAGCTGGTGGGGACTACCGAGCTCGTCCCGCAGCCCTGTGGGGAAATGGCGTGAGATCCTGACGAAGGTCAGAAATCTGCGTGGCAGCAACAGTAGCAAAGTGGCACCTGGAGCTTCAAGGAAGCAAGGGTAAGAAAAGCAAAGCCAAAAGGGAAAGCACCCGGCTGCACCTCTGCTGATTCGGGGCAAACACCCCTGCAGTTGGTTGTGAGATGGACTTCGAGTTAACAGGCATAAAAAGGCAAATCATAGCAATAATAATAATCATACTAACAAGAACAAAAAAATGGAAAATGTGACTATAAAAGATAGTGAAGATAACTAGGAGTTTCCCTCTCCTTTCTGGTGGTGGTGGTGGTGGGGGGGTGGGCAATGAGGGAATCAGATTCTATGTCACCTCTGAGAGCAAGGAAATTACAAATTTTCTCTTGTGTTCCACAACGGGATAGGGGTTTGACTTAGAGCCGCGTTGTAACTTGTTCTTCCTGTCCATCACCCCATTTGTGCATGAGCAGGTCGCAAGCCTCTCCCCAAGTTTCAAATACGTCCTCCGAGGAGTCTAAAAGTTTAGAATTTGAGGAGCAGATGCTGGATGCACAGTGGAGAGAGCTAGAACAGGCTAGGGGGCATTCACTGCTCTCAGCAGCGCCCCGGGCTTCACCTAATTCTACCTCACTGAGGTTAATTTCGCTTTGAGAGCAGGCCCCTGCTTTCCCTTTCTCCATCTGAGAATATCTGATGTCCTGCCACATATAATGCTGCTGAGCGATGCCATCTGAAATGGTGTACATTGGCTCGGAACTGGGTTCAGACATATGACCGTTAAACTTGGAGAACAGGAGCCCGAGTTTCTTGAGAGAAGGACCCATGAAGGACCGTTTGCTTGATGACTCAGCTTTTGGCTTCCCTTGGGCACCCCCGGCTCTCGGCATGGTTCTGATGAGAGGTGGCCCATGGCAGGCCTTTTTCTTGCAGCCTAAGTTGAAAGAGACACTCTTGGATTTGGCCCGAGCCCCACCACTGCCATCATTGGTATCATCCCTCTGAGAGAGTTCAGTGCTGCTTGTGGAAAAGCTTCTCCTTGAGTGCTTCCTATTTCCTAAGAGGTCAAGTACTTCATATCGAAAGCTGGAGATGTCCTGCTTTAATTCCTAGGGCAAGAGAGAAGACACCTTACATTAAGAAGCTTGGTCTTTAGTTCAAAATAGGCTCATTGGGTGTCCTTTGGAATGTTCCAGGTTTTGCCTAATGGCAAATCACAAAGTACACAGACTACCAGCAAAATCTCACATTATTCCAGCACAAGAAAAGCATGTTAATAATTCTGTGGACAGGGCTGGCCATTGGAAAAATTGTGCAGTTGGCAAAGTTGATTTCAGATGGCCCTTATCAGGAGGACACCAACAGACTTGTCCCTGCTAAAGCGCTAACCTGCAACTAAGGTACTAGCTCTCATCTGCATATAGAAAGACTGTGGAAGATGAAAAAGCTTTTAGGACCCTAAGGAATGAAAGTAGGGAAGTGGAATGTGTCAGGTTAGAGACTGCTCTTTGGGGACAGCGGGTCCTGTCCACTCAAGTCCCGAGGAAATGTCACTTCTTCTTCCTCTTTTTTTTTTTTTTTAAGATTTTATTTATTTATTTGTCAGAGAGAGAGAGAGAGAGCACAAGCAGGGGGAGTGTCAGGCAGAGAGAGAAGCAGGCTCCCCACCTGAGCAAGGAGCCCGATGCGGGACTCAATCCCAGGTCCCTGAGCCGAAGGCAGACGGTTAATTGATTGAGCCACCCAGGTGTCCCCAGGAAATGTCTTCTCTAACTGACGGCCTAGATGCTAGATTGCTCCTTTAAAAGCCACCTTTTAAAAGCTTAAGTTGGATCCTATTGCTCCCCTGCTTAAGACTTTTTAGTAACTTGTCACTGACCTTGGATAAAAGTAGAAATGCCATTCCAAGGGCTACAAGGTCTTTCAAGACCCCGTGTCAGCCCTTCCTACTCTTCCCTCGGGCTCTCTACTGTCCACCTGCATGGACATAGTCTCTCTTGCCTCTGGGTCTTTGCCTGTGCTGTTCTCTCCACTTAGAACACTCTTCTCGGCGATTCTCCTTTATCTGGCTCCTCCTGCAAGCCTCAGCTTAAACACAGCTTCTTCTGTAAAGCTGCCCTGACTCCCCAGATCCCAGTTGTGTCCCTGCTCTCTGTCCCACAGCACCCTGTGTTTATCCTGTCAGAATACTCAGTCATTTGTCACCTTCTCTTGTTACTGTCTGTGTGTCACTCCGTGAGAGTGGGGGCTGGCGATATCTTGCTCATCACTGTACCCCAGCACCCAGTGGGGTGCTTCGCACACAGCAGGCCCTCAATAGATGAGTTATATCTATGGATTAGGATAATGGCCTTTTAAAAAAAGATTTATTTATTTATTTGAGGACGAGAGAGAGAGGTGGGGAGGGGCAGAGGGAAAGGGAGAGAGAAACCCAAGCAGACCGTGCTGAATGTGGAGCCCGACTCGGGGCTCGATCCCATGACCCTGAGATCATGACCTGAGCCAAAACCAATAGTCAGAGGCTCAACCAACTGCGCCACCCAGGCACAGATAATGGCCTTTTTATGTTCCTTAGAGAAGATACATGTGTGGATGCCTGGGTGGCTCAGTCAGTTAAGTGTCTGCTTTCAGCTCAGGTCATGATCCAGGGTGCTGGGATCGAGTCCCACATCGGGCTCCCTGCTCAGCGGGGAGCCTGCTTCTTCCTCGGCCTGCTTGTGCTTTCTCTCTCTCTGACAAATAAATAAATAAAATCTTTTTTTTTTTTAAAGATTTTATTTATTTGTTTGACAGAGAGAGACACAGCGAGAGAGGGAACACAAGCAGGGGGAGTGGGGGAGGGAGAAGCAGGCTCCCCGCAGAGCAGGGAGCCCGATGCGGGACTCGATCCCAGGACCCTGGGATCATGACCTGAGCTGAAGGCGGTCGCTTAACCAACTGAGCCATCCAGGCGCCCAATAAAATCTTTTTTAAAAAAGAAAATATGCATGTGTTCTAAGGTAGGGTTTCTCAATCACTTGACATGTTAGCTGGATGAGCTTGGTTGTGTGGGGGGCTGTCCCATGCCTTGTAGGATGTTTAGTAGCAATCTTGATCTCCACCCACTAGATGTCACACACATCCAGTGTGACAACCAAAAATGTCTCCAGACATTGCCAAATGTGCCCTAGGGAACAAAATTGCCCCTGATTGAGAACCACTGTTTTAGGCTAATGCTAGTATTAGGAGAATTTTGATGTTTTGTCGTAGGGTTTGTTAAATCTTAGATTTAATGATGGATTAGTTGGTCTTCATCTTATATCTCTGAAGTAAAGAAGGCCTTCACATTTGCAGGCATCTTCTTTTTGCTTTCTTGCCCCTCACCATGCATCCTTGCCACAATACTTAAAGCCCTCAATTTCCACACTGGGAGACACCCAGAATATTAAAAGGATGCATAAGGCAAATTTCTTTTGTTCATAAAGCTGATTATGGTGACAGACATTGATGAAATCTCTCCATTAGCTGGATGACAGACCATTCTTTTTTTGAGAGAGAGAACGTGAGTGGGCGGGGGGAGGGGCAGAGGGAGAGGGAGAGAGACAAGCAGACTCTCTGCTGAGCGTAGAGCCTGACTCAGAACTCGATCTCACTACCCTGAGACCATGACCTGAGCTGAAATCAAGAGTTGGACGCTTAACCGACTAAGCCACCCAGGTGCCCCAATGACAGACCATTCTAAGAGAACATAAAAATCATAGCTGGTTTTGCTGTATTATAGGCAGTTAAATGATCACCAGAAACCTCGAACCCTGTGAAGATTATAATGCTTAAGAAATGTGAAGTGAGAAATTAAACCACTTCATGATTCAATTACCTTAAAATTTTCTTCTGTTAGTCCCTCGTTTGTTTTGGAATTTCTTATCATAGCAGCTACATATCTTTTGACTAAATTCCTGATGACTTCCTGGAAATTAAAAAAAAGGGGGGGCATTCAGTTTTCTTCTCAGGCTCTCAGGAAAATAAGAAACACTGTCAAGAAAAAAACATGCTCAGACTGTCTTTGCAATAGGAAATCCTCCCGGGATCCAGTCATTTTCCTCAAAAATCCTGTTCAGTCCATTAGTTAAATGAAGAATGACTGTGTGTCCAAATGTGGTGGCAGAGTGGGCCAGCAAAATCAAATTCATCCAACACGAAACATTTCTGCCCACAAAGAAGGCAAACACAGATTCACATTTACAGAATAATGAGAGTGGAATAATCCTTGGATGGTCATGGCCAATACCCTCCCTTTCAGGCTGGATTAAACTTTAACCCTCCTTGTAAGATGAGAGTTGTTCTTCCCTCTTGTAGAATTGATAAAGTCATTCTTTGGTGTCACAAAGTCTGCTGATTTCAATGTCTGCTAATTACATAATCCAGATATTTTTCTTAAAGTCAATGTACACTTCTCCTTTACAGGGATGACCTCTTTTTTTAAAAAAGATTTTATTTATTTTAGAGGGAGAGTGGGGGAGGGACAAAATGAATCCTAAGCAGGCACCCCACTGATCGCATAGCCTGGTGCAGGTACACAGGGCTGGATCCCACAACCCTGAGATCATGACCTGAGCCGGAATCAAGAGTCGGAAGCCCAACTGACTGAGCCACCCAGGCACCTCAGGATGGCCACTTTTTACTTAGCCTCCTGGGAATGGCACACATGTGGTCACTCTACTTTGTGTCAGGAACGGTGATGATGACAGCTACCACTAAATGTGCCAGGACACGCGCGCACACATACACACACACGATCACACACACATGATCACACATGCATGCTCACCACTCGATTCTCACAACAACCCTGTGAGTTAAGTTATATCACCCCCATTTAACAGATGAGGAAACCGAGGCTCAGCAAAGTTAAGTGACTTGTCCGAGGTCACACCAACTGACCAAGAACGATTTTGCTTAGTCACTGGGACGAGCTTTACCTGATAATGTTGATTCTGTATCAGGCTGTCAGCGTGGCGTTCCTGTAATTGAAAATGGACAGAGAGCTCACATCAGTGGTCTCCCAGCAACCCATCCACTCGAATATATTTCTTTATGTTAGGACTGGAGAATAACACAGGAGCTCCTGCCTGACAAACCCCCAGACCTCTGTAGGTTGGAGTGATTTTATGTTGTTTAATATAGGGACTGTCATGAAGGGTGGGGCAGGGGGGGAAGATAGAAAACAGTTTTGTTTAAAAAGAAATGGAATTAGAGGGTATTATGCTAGGTGAAATAAGTCAATCAGAGAAAGACAATTATCATATGATCTCACTGATATGAGGAATTTGAGAAATAAGGCAGAGGATCATAGGGGAAGAGAGGAAAAGATGAAACAAGACGAAGCCAGAGAGGGAGATAAACCGTAAGAGGCTCTTAATTTCAGGAAACAAACTGAGAGTTGCTGGAGTGGTGGGGGGTGGGAGGGATGGGGTGGCTGGGTGATGGACACTGGGGAGGGTATGTGCTATGGTGAGCGCTGTGAATTGGGTAAGACTGATGAATCACAGACCTGCACCCCTGAAACAAATAATACATTATGTTAATAAAAAATAATAATATTTACTGAGCACCTAAAAAAAATGGAATTTTAAAAAGCCTTACTGTGAAGCTTCTCAAGTTGTGCCTTCTCCGTCTACCATCAGGGTCTCTTTTGGGGCAGAAGGTGTTGTTGAACCAGTTACCAAGGTAGAGAAATGACTTGGGACTGGGGATGATGTTGAAAGGAGGTGGCAAGGTGCCGCCTTCATCAAAGTAACTCATCCAGAGTTTTGTCCTTGCAAACTTCCACTCAATATCGGCATGATCCTGTGAAAGAGAGAAGTTCAGGAATTTGGAATAGGAAACTGCAAAATGCACCCATGCCTCCTTCTAAAAGTTCGGCTTGCTTCTATAGAGGGCAATCTGTCAGTAGGTATAAAAATTCAGGGGCGCCTGGGTGGCTCAGTCATTAAGCGTCTGCCTTCGGCTCAGGTCATGGTCCCAGGGTCCTGGGATCGAGCCCTGCATCGGGCTCCCTCCTCCGTGGGAAGCCTGCTTCTCCCTCCCCCACTCCCCCTGCTTGTGTTCCCGCTCTCGCTGTGTCTCTCTCTGTCAAATAAATAAAGTATTTAAAAAAATTCAAATTACACATACCCCAGGACCCAGTAATCCTACTTTTAGAGATTTATCTGATCATCATACTTGCAAAAAGATGTATGCACAGGGTTGTTCACTGTTAGCACTGTAGCTTGTCATAGTGATATCATTTACTCAATGATGTTATGTCCACAAAATGGCTTGCAATATAGCTATTACAAATATAGTAGATCTATCACCATTTTATATATAGAACATATATATGTGTATATGCGCTTATCCATATATCTGTAAGAGCTCCAAGACCTGGAAGTGAAAAAAGCAACATAAAGCATCTATTGTGTACCACGATGCCACTTATGCACCCGAAGAACCCTTTATATGACATGCTTACATGTTCTAGACAGGTACATACCAAACTGTCAACAGTGGTTATTTTTAAGGAGTGGAATTGATGTGGGCAGGCTTTTTTTCTTTAAGACTTATTTATTTCAGAGAGAGAGAGGAGGGGTAGAGGGAGAGAACCCCCAAGCAGACTCCCTGCTGAGTGTGGAGCCCGACAGGGTGCTTCATCCCAGGACCCCTGAGATCACGACCTGAGCCAAAACTAAGAGTCGGACGCTCAACTGATGAGCCACCCAGGCACCCTGAGGCTTTTTTTTAAAAATTTCATATCATTGAGGTATGATTTCCATAGCATTAAATTCACACATAAAATTCACACACATCCAATTCACACATTTTAGGTTTTCCATGAGTTTTGACAAGTGTGTATATCTGTGTAACCACCATCATAATCAAGATACACACACACACACTTTTCTAGGAGTTTTAAGACCTGAATGGACTGCTGTAACCACCACAGTTAGGATACACAACAGTCCCACCACCTCCCCCAAATTCCTTAGTGTTGCCCTTCTGTAATCAATCTCTCCCCAACCCCTAGCCCCTGGCAACCACTGCTCCATTCTCCAGCACTTTTATTTTTTTAAAAAGATTTTATTTATTTATTTGACAGAGAGAGAGAGCACAAGCAAGGGTGGAGGGGCAGAGGGAGAAGGAGAAGCAGGCTCCCTACTGAGCAGGGATCCCGACTCAGGGCTCGATCCCGGATGCCGGGATCACGACTGGAGCTGAAGGCAGACACTTAACCGACTGAGCCACCCAGGCGCCCCTCCATTCTCCAATGCTTTAGTTTGCCTCTTCCAAGATACCAGATACATGGAATCATACAGTAGATACCTTTTTGAGATTGGCTTTGAGATTTGTCCATGTTCCATTTTAGTGGAACATTTAATTCCAGTTAGGTAACATGCAGTGTTACATTAGTTTCAGGTGTACGATACAGTGATTCAACACTTCCCTGCATCACCCAGTGCCATGTGTCAGGTTTTTAAAGTTTAGCCATTCTAATAGACAAGTAGTTGGAGCTCATTATGGTTTTAAGATGCATTTTCCAAATAGCTACTCATGTTGAGCATCTTTTCATATGCGTTATATCGATATATCCTCTGTGGTGAAGTGGCTGTTCAGATCCTTTGCCCATTTTTATTGCATTGTTTTCTTACAGGTGAATTTATATATATATATATATACACACACACACACACACACACAAACACATACCTCAGAGATATTGCGGTCTTGGTTCCAGACCACCACATAGCAAATATCACAATAAAGCAAGTCAAATGAATTTTTTGGTTTCGTAGTGCATATAAAAGTTACGTTTACACTATACTGTCGTCTGTTGAGTGTGCAATAGCATTATGTTCAAAAAACAATGTGTACACTTTAATTAGAAAGTACTTTAAAGATTTATTTATTTATTCTCAAGCAGACTCTGAGCTGGGCATGGAGCCCGATGTGGAGCTTGATCCCAGGACCCTGAGATCATGACTTGAGCCGAAATCAAGAGTTGGATGCTTAACCGACTGAACCACCCAGCCACCCCAATTAGAAAGTACTTTATTGCCAAAAAATGGTAACCATCATCTGAGCTTTCAGCAAGTCATAATCACTGATCACAGATCACCGTAACAAATGTAATAATATTGAACATGTTTGAAATATTGCAAGAGTTACGAAAATGTGAGAGAGACAAAAAGTGAGCAAATGCTGTTGGAAAAATGGTGCCAATGGACTTGCTCGTCGCAGGGTTACCACAAACCTTCAATTTGTAAAAAAAAACAAAAAACAAAAAACAAAAAACCACAGTACCTGCGAAGCACAATAAAATGAGGTTTGCCTGGGGTGCCTGGGTGGCTCAGTTGGTTAAGCCTTTGGCTCAGGTCATGATCCCAGGGTCCTGGGATGGAGTCCCACATTGGGCTCCCCGCTCAGCGTAGAGTCTGCTTCTCCCTCTCCCTCTGCTGCTCCCCCTTCTTGTGCTCTCTCTCTCTCTCTGTCAAATAAATAAATAAAATCTTAAAAAAAAAAAAAACAACCCATGAGGTATGCCTATATTCTGGATACAAGCTCTTTGTCAGGAATGTGATTTGCAAATGTTTTTTCCCCAGCTGCATCTTGTCTTTTCATACACTCAATGGTTTCTTTCATAGAGCAAGCTGTATTAATTTCAGTGAAGTGAAATTTATCACTGTTGGACTGAGGATCTTAGTCCCTTGCTGGCTATTGGCTGAAGACTTTCCTCAGTTCCTTGCCATATGGGCTTCTTCATAGGACGGCTCATAACATGGCAGCAGGCTTCACTGTAGTAAATGAGAAGAGCCATGGTCTTCATGTACCCTACTCTCTGAAGTGACATCACTTCTGCCATGTCTCATGTTAGACTGAGTCCCTAGCCCACAGTCAAGGGAAAAAGATTGTATAAGGGTTCAGATGCCTGGAAGTGGGGATCAGTGGAGTCCGTCTCAGAGGCTTCTTACCGTATTGCTTCTCAGAAATTGAGAAACTGAATGACTGTAATCTTGAGTAACAAATCCTTTTCTAAGTCATGTGGTTTATAATTCCTTGCTTTTGATAAAAGATAAGGCAAACCTAATCAAGTTATCAGATGATAGATTATTGAAATATTATTTTACAAAAAATCATTACATGACTTTTTGGCATGTAACTCAGAGTTCTAGAAAATTGAATGACAATGGCATAATAAAACTGTCCATTCACATATACTTATTGATATGAAAAGTTTTCTTAGCACTTAATTTTATGAAAATATAAAAATATAGTTGATGCTGAATTTTGTTCCAGAATATTACTTAATATTCTGTGGATATAATAACTAGTTAGATGAAAAACTCTATTCACCTATATAAGCAATTCATTTCCAATAAAAATGTATTTTTATGTCTTAGTTATTTATTAAAATTTGTATTACATTTGTGTTCTTTTGAGGTGTTTTGTACTGCTAATCATGGAATCATAACTAAATTCAAAGGAAATGCTTTAACATTTATTGCCTTCTGGCCACAGGAAATAAAAAATTAAAATTTAATTTATATTTTTGTTATGAAGAACTCTCACAGAGTGATCAATAGTAATAAAATATTTAAAACAAAAATTTTATAGCATTAGGGTAAAATCCTGTGGGGATGTGAATGGAAATAAGAATGCAAGGAGAAAAGGAATGATGTAAACTTTCTGCCTTTAAAGAAGATTTTAGCCATTTAATTTTAATTTTTTAAAGATTTTATTTATTTGTTTATTTGACAGAGAGAGAGAGAGAAAGCACAAGCAGGGGGGAGCAGGAGAGGGAGAAGCAGTCTCCCTGCTAGGGATCCCAATGCTGGTCTTGATCCCAGGACTCTGGGATCATGACCTGAGCCAAAAGCAAGACGCTTAACAGACTAAGCCACCCAGGTGCCCTGCCATTTAATTTTTAAATACATGGTTATCAGTCGCAAATTGCTATGGTATTCAGATTTCATTGGATACATTTAAATGAGTGATTAGGTAGTTTTATTTTAAATGTCAGTATTTATCCTATTCTAGAAATTACATCATTTGCAATGGTTTAAACTTAGGATGACATATTTAGATGTCAACTCAAAAACATATAAAAGGATATATAGATTTTTTTCCCACCAAATTCATTAGAGAGTATGCTGGAAAAGCGCTTGAATGTCCTTGATGAGACCTGGGACTAAGACAGCTTCAATATATAAATTGCATATATATATATATATATGCACACAATTATCGGTATAGTAACTATCACTGCCTTGAGAGACAATGGTGCTGTAGGCAAGCTGCCATGCAGAGGAGGACAGGGGTTCTTTCCACTACATTTCTGAGCCCATAACACCAGAAACAAACGTTGAATTTTCATTTTACCCTCTGATGACCCCAAATAGCCAGTCTTTCATCCGCAGAATGTTTCTGTAGTTCTTGAAATGAAGTAGCTATTCAATAAGTATTTCTTAAGATGAACTGAGTCACAGTTTCAAACTTGCCTAGATATCCTGGTATCTAGAAATGCTCTTTTCTTTTTTTTAATCCTTATGTGAGTTAAGCTTTTTGTTTGTGTTTTAAACACTAAGAAGTTACGTCCCCTTTTTAAAAAAAACAACAGTTGTTTAAAATGCTGAGGGGAAAAAAAGGCATTCGATCTCAACAAAGAATAGAGTCATAAAGTGGGCCAAGTGATAAACCATAGACATCTTTGTGAGCTCAGGAGGCTTTCTGGTGTCCCTCCTTGCCCCTAGTCCATTTAGATGGAGGATATGATTTTGGCTAAGCAATTTGAAAACAGCTCAAGGACCCCCACT